TATCACTCCTTTAGCACTGATTTTCCATTATGCATGGGGGTTGCTCTTTTATGTGTGTTTGTGGAAAAATATATCGTGACTTCCCTGAAAATAAAGGCCTTATTTCTTTAAATAAATATTTGCCATGTTTACCACAAATGGGAATATAAAAACATATTGTGATGATCTTCCCCTCTGACTTGTTCACTAAGAAAAAGGGGATTAGTCACTTGTTCTAAGTAATGCAGACATGATGCAAACTTAGTCTTTGATTAGAAATAAGTATTCCTGTTTTCCTATCCCCTCCCTATTCTCTGGAAAGTAGGACAGAAGGATGTTAAGAAGAATTTGGAAAGAAGAAAAGACTGGGATAGTTCAAAGAAACACGATAAATGTGTAAGAAAGCACATATATTGCTCCTACTCTGACTTTCATAATTAGTCTTCACATTGGAAAAAGGCTCTGAAGTAAGTCTCCTGCCTGAATTCAAACGACCTCCATGCTTCCTCTCTAGAAGACTTGGAGTTGTTACTTAATTTCACCAAGGCTCAATTTCTGCTAATAGCATGCCCAGGCTACTGCATTGAATGAGGTGATATTTGGTATCTAATAATAATCAGTGTTGGTTTTGATAGTGGTTATTTTCTTAGTTGTTGTTGGTACATGCATAATTGCAAGGAAGACCATGCCTAAGGCTAGTTGAAGCAGGGAAGAGAAAGCCAGAGAATTTGCTCAAAGGCTCCTTCCCCAGATGGAAGAGCTGGCTCCAGGCTCCATGAGTGTCTGGAGCCTTCCATGTCTAGACTTGATGTGACAGCTGGGACTTCCCAGAGCTTTCCCCTGCTGGCAGCTGCCTCTTGCTTTAGTAACCTTGTTATAAGAGTGGATATCTGATAGTAAAGTGTTTTGTGTTCATTGCTTTGTAAGTTAAAGTTTCCTAGCTAGAACTTTGACTTTTAAATACTAACAAAATGGATTTTCTTTCCTCTCTGCCCTCTCTTGTTAATAGGGTGCTGAGAAAATTTTGTCAATGAATGAATCAGGAGAACTACAAGACCTCTTAACCAAAATTGAGGTAATTGTACTTTTAGCAACTTATTTTTAGTAATCAAAATGTGAAACACATTCTGATTGTAATTAGATTTCCCTAATTAAATTTTTGTCTTTTGTTCTTACAAATATATAACACTATGTATGTGACAGTTTTAATTGGGTATCACCTGCCTTTATGTTGCTCCAGCTAGAGTGATTTAATACCAGTTTCTAACAACCTCATCCTATTGAACTTTTTAGTTGGCTTTATTTGAGACTAATTCTCCATAATAGAGGTGTTGATAAAGTATTCCAACTAGGCAATTGTCTTAAAGCACACTTCAAGTTTTTCATTAAAACTTTTGTTTTTCTTGTGGAATCATTCATCATTTATGAAGATAAAAGCAAAAGTATTTCTTTGATATGTACGTTTTAATGTTTGCTACTATGCTTAACAATTGTAGCATCAGAGACACACTCAAATAATTCTGCATTACATTAATATGCCAGGAAACTCTTACCATTTCTCTAGTAAATTATTGTATTATGGTATGTTGGAATACCATATGCTTTATCACCCAGATAGGGACACTATAAGAGTGAACAGGATGCGTAACTACTCAGAGCTTTCCCAGGTGAACCAGGTGGGCCAACATTCTCATGCCATTAGTGGCTCTTCTTGTCAAGTCTTATTTCTGATTCTCTACCATACCTTCCATTCCAGTCACAAGAAATAATTATGTGGCCTCTTGTGCTTCTCTTATTACTGCACATTATGCAGGTTCTGTATGTGTAGAGTATTACAGTTCCAGTTCCTCGTTTCTTTTTACCACCTTCAAGATCAGACTGTAGTATTACTTCTTCCAAAGATAATTTCCATTCTTTCCTACCTTTTTATCTCTGTAACTATTTATGTTGGAAGCTTGTCAAAGGTTGCCTTATTCAACTTTTTTTTGGGTATTTGAGTCATGTTCCATATAAGCTATATGCTTCTTGACTGTAGCCATCACTTTAATTGAAGTTTAGTCTTGCTTAGCAGGAAAGCACAATGTGTTTATTCATTTGGCAAATATACTAAATATCTGCTATTCACAGGCACTTTGCTCAAGGAGGAGATGGTGGCTACTTGAAGAGCTGTTTGCACGTAGCATTAACTCAGAACAGTTTCTACTAATTTCTGTCATAATAATAATAGCTGCATTACATTTATACATAGTGGTCCAATAAATGTGATAGGCAGAGAGAAAATGATTCTGATTATAAGGAGGGCTCCTGGGATGTTGGAAGAGGACACACCATGATCTGATTTCTAAATTTCTTTAGCTTTCACATTTTGTAATTTCTGAAGTATCAGGGTTTAAAAATTTTAGCTGGAACCTCAGCTCTACGGATAGCTATATGACTCTGGGACTATGCTTTCACAGTTTAGGCTCATTATAACTTCATTCATCAAGTGAGCTTGTGTACTTTATTGTCCAAAATTCCTTTCAGTTAAAGTAGCTCTACGGATAGATTTTTTTTCTTTTTTTTCTTATTTGTCATTTCAATCCCATAAAGCCATTAATTTAGGTTAATGAATATAATTTTATTTAACCCACTCAACTTGAATGATGTATATTATTTTATTATTTGTTGTTCATGAAGAGCAATGAAAAAATTCCCTGACTCCCTGAAGATGAAGGACACTGCATAGGCTGACTGTGCAAGGCATGACTGGTGCCAAAGGAGAGCGGGAACTTGCCTGAAAAGCAGGTTCTGGAGGATGCCCCTAATGGACGGTGTTGGTATGACATGCTCAGAGGCTAGGGCAGCAGAGCATGCTTACTGACTTGGAGAATTAGTGATGCTGTTTGATTTTCTCTGAAAATTAAACACTTACCTAAGTAGGCATATGGCCATCTATCCCATGAATCAAGAATCATGCTTCTGTATACCTGCATATATATTTAAGGTGATAAGCTACACATTTCCCTGTGTATGCATTTTGTTGAGGCCTTTTTTTTTTAAAGCTACAACTCTGGAATACTGAAAACACTGATGACCAGGAAAGATTCTATTTATTAGCTTAGTGGCTCAGCCAAGCAGTAATATATTTAGTAGACATTTAACAAGCATTTACTTAATTAAATGCTTGAATCTAGTTTAAAAAATAAAGACAAAGATGAATTATTCAGAGATGACTACACCCCAGGTATGTACACGTTGGCAATTTGTTTAATGGATAAGTCCACTTAATAGACAGCTTGAATGATGAAGTTTTGGGAAACAGACTTAAATAAGTCACTTCTTTGGTAATCTAATTAATAGATTTTCAATTTATATTCAAAAGATGTTAGATGATCTGAGATTGAGTCTCCACTGGTAGGTTTCCTGTGCTGCAATGGATGGTCCCATACCCATGCACATAAAAAAAGAAAGAAAGGAAGGGAGGAATGGAGGGAGGGAGGGAGGGAGGGAGGAAGGAAGGAAGGAAGGAAGGAAGGAAGGAAGGAAGGAAGGAAGGAAGGAAGGAAAAATATGGGGCTGGAGAAATTCCTCAGCAGTTGAGAGCACTGGCTGCTGTTGCAGAGGATCCAGGTTCAGTTCCCAGCACCATGTGGCAGCTAATAACTGTCTATGGTTCCAATTCCAAAGGTTTCAATGTCCTCTTCTGACTTTCACAGACATTGCACACATATATATGGTACACTTACATACAAGCAGGCAAAACACTCATACACATAATAAAAAAGACATGCAATTTGAAGGGTATGTTGCAGGGGAGTTGGAGGAGGAAAATGAAAGTGAATGTGATCATATTTCATTGTATACATGTATGATATTCTCAAGATTAAAGAAAAATTATAAAAAAATAATAATGCTTTGTATTTTGATCTTGAGGAAGACACATAAATTCTTGATTTTAGCATGTGGTGTATTAGGTAACCTGGGATAAATCTTTGTGTACTTCTGAAGTTTAAGCTAATGCTACAGAGAAAACCTATTTAGCAAACATTCATGTACTCTACTCTTGTATTCTGACCTCTTGGTCTTTTATTGGGGAACTGATAATTCTGCAAACTTCAATTTAGATGACTTCAGTGGAATTATTCGAAGACCTAACTGTGGGGCTGGTAGCTACAGGATGTGGGAGGGAGGAAGAATCTAGTTCACTGCTATATCCCAAGACTTTTCATAGTGTCCAGTTAGTGATCATTCAGGATGTGTTTTTTTTTTTTGTATAAAGTAATAAGTTAAAAGATCTTTACCCACTGAGTACTTCTTTATAGTGCTTCATCAAGAATATATTAACCAAAGGAAGTGAAGAAAGGATGAGTTCTCATTAATTTCTTCTTAAATTCCATTGGAAAGGAAGTTTCCCCAACTGGAACTCATTGCAGAAGGACTTTGTTGATTCAGTACTTTAACTATGAGATATTCTTAGCAAAGTATGCATGATTTCTCATTTTTCTGGTAACGAGGTCATTGGAGACTTCCCTTAGGTTCTTTAATCATTTCAAGGTCAAAGTTCTTGCAGTCAAACTCTTCACGGAAACTTGGTCTGGTCTGTTTTGTGACTACTAGTTGTGACAAAGACTCACTAGTTTAGATGGTGACGCATGGTATAACGGGACTGGAATTTCTGGAGGCTGCTCAGTCAGAGGATACTTTAGTGGGTAGGCACAAGAACGTCCTCCACTCCAACTTCCATGTTAGTCACAGCTTTTATTATTTTAATTGTCTTACATTCATGGGTGCCAGGAATGCACTATTTAGGGAAAAAAAATGGATGTTTGCTTTACTAGGGCCAGATCTCGAGTTCAGTCCCTAGAATACGTGATGACAGCAAATAAACTATTATGGAGGAAAAACCATGAACTTTTCTCAGAAACATAGCTCTCTAATTAATAAATAATTTTCAAATTGTGATCTGAATATATTTTTCCATTAAGAGGCTTGGTCTCTCCGTTTGTAACATAGTAGTTTCTATCACATCACACTAAGTGATGTAAGAATGATGCCTAGGCTTTATCTGCCACAAAAGACAGCTTTCTGCACATTTGTCACTGAAAGAGCTATTTTTTTTTCTTGAGAAGAGAAATTATTTCAGAATCTTTCCAACACTGTGCCCCATGCTCAGAATTAGCAGAAAATTTAAAAGCATATTTACTTTCCCTTTACAGATGTAAGATCTTAAACTAGAAGGCTAATACAGATACATTTAAATCAAATAACTCAGCCTCACATAAAATGATTATGTCATGGACCATGGGCAATTAACTTGAGATAGCAGCTAGTGAACATAAGGTTGTGATTAATTAATGAAATAATGGCTTATAGTTGCTAACCTTATTGGGTGTCTCCTGTGTACCAGTCTGCCTTCTGTTCATTGTATGTGAGTTATTTCACTGAATCCTGCCAACAACTTTAACTAATGAAAGATAGATTTCATTTTAGAGTATCATGGATTATGAAGACAGGGCTATAGGACTTACTTGTGAGTTTTTGTCAACATGAAAATGTAGATTTCAATATCCATGTGTTAATTTTCTCTTAGGAAATGTATCTGTTGTGAGGTTTGGATAGGTTATGAAGTTAGAGTAGACTCTTGGTATTATTTGGTATGACATTTGACATTGTTGTCCATTAAAAGTAATTTTTAAAGCTCTATTTCAGATTTAAGATGTAAAATAATTTTTAATTTTGTTGTGTCACTACTTTAAGTTTATGTGCTGACAGCACAATCTTAGGGGTGAGTGACATAGGTGGAGAATGAGCCTATGAGACTGCCTAGAGCTCACATTTTATTTTAGTTTTGCTGTTGCTTGGTTGTCACCACAAATGCATTCTTTGGGGAAACCATATGCTATTTGAAAATTTTGTTATTCACAAGTGTTTTGGGACATGGTGGGATTTGATTTTTAGATGTGGTTCACCTTCTACACCTTTATACTAGTTAATAAAAATGTTAAGGCATGTTTTTTAAAAATACTGAACAATGTATATTGGTTGAAAACTGTTTTCCAAACATCCTTCCTGTCTCTTGTCAGCACCTGCTGTATAGGTTTACAAAGATGCAGGATGTCCACTACATTTTAATTTCATGTAAGCAATGATTTTATAGTTTATGTTCAACAAAATATTTGATATATACTTATATGAAAATAATTTGTGATCTACCTGAAATTCAGATATAACTTAGCATTCTGTGTTTTTTATTTGTGATATATGACTACCTTGTCCTACTAGGAATCCAGATATATTCATAAGTCAGCAGTAATGAATGAAGTCCTGGACTCCTGAGTCCTGCAGATTCTTCTTCTAAGCTCTAGGTTAGCAGCTGTTTTGTCTAATCAGTGCAATTATTGTACATATCATTACACACATATGTGGCTGGTTGGCTGGCTGCATCTGTAATTTGAGGCAGGGACTCATAACCCATACTTACACTGAACTCACTATGCAGCTAAGGCTAACCTTAAACTTCTGATCTTCCTGTCTCTACCTTACACATTCTGGGATTGCAGGAGTGAGTCACAATACCTGGTTTGATATTTTGAGCATTCATCTACATTATTATTTTATTTGTAAAATTGGATAACACCATTGCTTGCTAATTCCCTTTTATTTAGCTTTTAAAGTATATTGTGTACTCCAAGAATGTTTAAAGATAATTAAACATTAAAAAATGTTTAAGTTCAGCACATCTTTCTTTGTAGGAGCCAATTCTTGCATAGAAGATTTACAAAATCCCTTTTACAAAATCACCTAATTTCTACTTGTATTAAATCTATCATCTTGGAAGACCATTGAATCACTACAATTTTGACAGTGTTTCCTATTTGTGTCATCCAGATTGGCAACCACTACTTCCCCTCAAATTAATTTTGTGTTGCTAAAAATGTGATACTTCATGAATTTTGCTATCTTGCTATAATAGCTAAGCCAAAAGGTAATTAGAAGTGAGTCTTGTAGAACACATATGCTTGAAAAGAAACCTGAGAATGTGTATACTGACAGTAAATTATATTATGATTTTTGCTTTTTTATTTGTATATTTTGTAAATTTTTATTGAATTTTTGTGTATTTTGTACAGGACATCTTGATCATCTTTATGATTGGCACCCCTTCCTCTTGGCACCCTCCATAGCCTCCTCATTGAATTTCATGCATTCTGTCATTTGTCTTAAGGCCTATTGAGTCGTTAGTGTCCCCAGATGTCCCTCAGTGCAAGTTCATCCACTGATGTCTAGTCAGCCTATCTAGAGTCCCTCCCTTTAATAAGATCAGCTCTCCCTCCCCCAGCAGTAATCAGCTGCTACTCGTTTTTTGGCTAAGACTGCAGCCTGATGCCCATTTCCACAGTTCTATGCTGGGTTTTTGTCTGCTTGAGTTTGCATGGGTCTTGTGCATGAGGACACTGTTACTGTGAGTTCACTTGAGCAAGGTCCCAGAAGGCTGTAAGACTCTCCATATGGTCATGCACCTCCTTCTCTGGCTCTTACAATCTTTTTGCCCCTTCTTTTGCAATGGCCCCTGAGTCCTGGATGGATGAAGTTTAATATAGGAGTTCTGTCCAGGGTACCACACTCTGCAGACTCTTATTCTCTATGCTTTGGCCATTTGTGTCTTTTTGTGTTCATGGGCCTCTGTTACATGAGGGAGCTTCATTGATGGGAGTTGAGAGATGCATTAGTATTGTCTCTGCCCCTTGTTTCACTGTGTTCGGTGAACCTTAGGTGTAGAGGTTCCTTTGTAGATATGTCACTTAGGGTTGGGCATTTCACTGACAAACGATGTATGTTCTCCCTTGTTTTGGATCCTAGCACCAAATCCTTACATAACGTTTGCTTTCTAAAGTGCATCTTACTAATTGCTTTTGATGATGAATTAATTTTTTTTACTGGGTTCTTTTAGTTCTATATACTAGGGAAACAGTTTGTTAAATCCACTTAGTTAGGCTCCATTTCAATTGGATTATTTGGAGATTTTAATGTGCAGTTATGATTCTCTAGTGCAAAGACTATGTATGCATGCATGTTTCTCAGAGTGTATTAGTGTACAAATGTGTGTGTGTGTAGGGGTGTGTGTGTGTTTGTTGTGCCCGTATTTCCCAACCCTGTTTCAGTAATTATTCTCTGTTCAAAGCCAGGCTTTCAAACATTGCTGTCAATTCCTATTTATAGGTTAGGAATTTAGGATTAGTTATCTTTTTTTCCCTTTGTGTTCATCAATGACTCCTAATCTCCCCTGACATGGGGAGTGCCACTAGTAGATTCTGAAAGACTGCATGTTCAAGGAGAAAATAGAAATGTATGGGAGTGTTTCCCAAAATACTGTCTTCAACACACAGCCTAGTCATATTTGTTCTATATTAGAGATATTTTATCTTTGCTTGAGATAAAGGCTGATAGCTGTTATGGAAAGTTTTATTGGTGTGCTTAAATGTCTCAAGATTTTTTTGTGTCTGTTTCCTTAAGTATAAAATGAGGATAATGATGCTTGAATTGCGTCTTTATAGAAGATGATGACTATATATGTGGAGGGTGGAGTGAGGAAAAATTTTGTGACAATGCATTTGACAGTGCTTTAAAAAGTATAAAGAATTGTTCAAATTGGCAGTGTAATGATGGATCTTTGGCTGATAGTGGCTCTTCCACATTTTAGCTTATAGTTTTCTGATTTTCCTAATTCTTTATTCTATAAACAAGGACATAAAACTGTTAAGAGATGCAAAATGGAATGTTAAAATGTTTTCCTTTGATGAAAACCATTGTCCCTTTAAAAAATATTTTCATGTGAAAATTTTGGAGCTATATGCCTTTCTGTACATTTGACATAAATTTATCAGACTTTCTAAACCAAGCCTATGCTATAGATGACCATCAAGGGCCACAGGGAAAGAGAAATGCAGCTATTTCCCCCTAAGTCTCATGGATATTGATGTCAGATCATTTCAAATGCATTGCCACAATATAGCACACTAGTGTTGTTTTACAACACCTCACAATATTGACTGTTCATGTTAACATGTTCTCTGTTCTCTCTTGTCTCTTGCCCACCTACACAGAGAGTACAGCATCCACACGAGTGTCCCTCCTGTGGAGGCTTTGGCTTCCTTCCATGTTCTGTGTGCCATGGGAGCAAGATGTCAGTGTTTCGAAACTGCTTCACGGACTCTTTCAAAGCCTTGAAGTGCACAGCTTGCAATGAGAATGGTCTCCAGCGTTGCAAGAACTGTGTGGGCTAATTGAAGCATCTATCCAGGAAAATCTTCATTTATTAAACAAAAGCTAAAATTTATACTTTTTTAAAAGGAAAGTAATGTTTTTAGATTAAATAATAAAGTTTGTATATTATAATTACCTTTGGTTTGAATTTTGGCTATGATCATTTTTGTTTTATTGAAGAAATATCACAACTACCATGAACCAAGCCTTAGCTAGATGCTGGTTTCCAGTGGAAATTAATGGAAGACTTGGTATCATTCTAAGATATCCAAAGTCTGGTTCACTAAAAACATCTGAGTTTCAAAGAAAAGAAAATGCACCTAAGGATGGCCATTCCAGGCACATGTTCAGAATAATTTAATAGAGTATTATAGATGCATAACATATTTTCCTGCATGTCTCATTTTCAGCAAAGGAAGGTGCCCTAGATAGTAGGAAAGAATGTAACATTTATTCTTAGGCTGTAGATTTTTTTAAAAAAACTATGCAACAATATTAGATCAGATAATTTAAAATTATATCATAAATATAACCAGAAGAATTTTGAGATGATGACATAACAACTTCCAGAATTGCTGGGAAGATGGTTCAGGGACAAAGCACTTGCTGTGCAGTGTGAGAAACTGAATTTGAATCCAAGGACCCTACACAAAGCCATGTGCAGTCATGTGCTCAGAACTCTGACCTCAGTGCTGCTATAGTGAGGTGGGAAGCAGAGACGAAAGAATCCTTGGGCACTTACAGGCCAGTTAGCCTAGTGTGTTGAGAGTCATACCAGAAACACTGGCTCAAACAAGGTGGAAGGTGAGGACAGACACCTGAGGTTGTCTTCTAGTCTCCATACACAGGCTGTGGCACTAACACAACCCACCCCCATGTATACACACAAGCTGCCAGAAAATTTATTTCACATTATTTTATATGTAATTAAAATAATTTATTTCTAGCCATCTGCTTTGTGCCATTCTCATGAAACTCCTTCATAAAGACAGTACTGCTTGACTGAATCTGGAGCTAGAAAGAAGAGCTCTATAAAGTCTGAATATATGGAAAAGTAACACAAGCAGAGGAGATGAAAATGAATATTCATAGAATTATTGTCTGAATGTAGATAAATCTTCGGATTACCTTGCCCATGATTTTAAGAAATCATTATCATAATACTGTCATAAGATAATGTCACAAAATATTTTGCTCCTTAGTTTCCAGAATGGCAATGAATGCTCATGGAGTACTTTCCAATCAGTCAGGCATGATGGGAGGCAAAACTGTTTTCATGAAGCTTACACTCGATAAAGGAAAGAAAGAAGCAAATGAGTATTAACAAAAACAGGATACAACAAAATAGAAATATCACAAAAGCAGTCAGAGTGCTGTGGAATGCACAATGGGTAGACCAATATACATGAGCTGGAAATGGTTACCAAGACGATCTAACCCTAGCTGAGGGACTATTGGTAGCTGATTACTGCTGGGTGAGGGAGCATTGATATTCTTTAAGGGAGTGATTCTATATAGGCTGACCAGGCTTCGGTGGATGAATTCACACTGAAAGACATCTGGGGACACAAATTTGACTCAACAGGCCTTAACATATATGACAGAATGCATGAAATCTGGTGGGGGACTATGCTGGGGGTACAGATACAGGAGGGGGTATAAATATGATTAACATGTAGTGTAAGAAATGCACAAAAATTCAGTAAAAATATATATTGAAAAAGTCAGCCAAGATGCAATCCCTAATGTGAAAATAATCAGATGCTTAAAAATGGTTCTAAAGACTGGGTTGGACAATTGATACATGAACAATTACTAGCTAGCTAGTCAAGGAGCAAGAGGATGGGGTACTTCTCACAAAGGAATGTGGTGCCTGGGGTCAGAAAATGAGTATATTCAAAGAAACTTAAGAAATCTCCTATGAAAAATGACAATCTCATAAAGTAGAACAATTTATAGTGTACCTGGCCTTCTGGAAATAACACGTACACACTTGAAATAGTGACAAAAATTTAAATGCTGAAGGCCCTTCCAGGGCCTAAACGCAGAAAGAATAGGATGAGTTTCAACTACTGAAAGGGGGGAAAGAAAATGAACTCTGTTTATTTGGAGTTTCCTCTGAGAGAGCTTCCTGGTCTGAACAGCAAACAGTTCATAAAGCAGGGCAGTTCCAATAGGTTGAAGAGACAGAGACTGTGAACTGCAGAGGCCAGCATATTTGGAACTGAATAAAAGTTTCTAGAAAATGACAGCACTGAAAAACAAAACATTAATTTAGTAATTATTATTATAGTGTTTAATTACAGTTAAAATATTTTTTATGTAAAAGCATGTAAACAATGAAAACAGAAGACAGGGTTGGGTGAATATATTTACAGTGTAAATATCTGCCCCCAGTTAAAATCTAAAGTCCCTAAGAACCTTGAAAAATTATTAATAATAAGATACTCTAGTAGAGAAGTTTGCAATAAACATTTCACAAAAGAAATGAATGTTCAAACACACATGGAAAATGTATATCACTAATCATTAGGTAAAAGAAATTAAAATCACAATGTGGTCATAACAAGATGTGGAGTGAAGGACCCTCTTCCATTGCTAATGAACGGTTGATGATACTCCTCCTCAGGACAAACACTTGACAGCTTCTAATAAAGCTAAGTGTATATTCTTTCTATATTCAACACTTCTACTCTATTATTAATTCAAAGAAATAAAAACACGTGTCTACAATGTCGGGAGCTTCATGGGAGCTATAGTTCTAATATCCTTCAAATGAAGTTATCGCAAATGTTCATTGACAGGGAACCGATCAGCAATTTGTGGTATATTAGCACAGGAGTGTGTTACCTATAAGACAAAGGAACAGACTACTGATTCCAGAAATAACACAGATGAACATCCAAAATATTACATGAATAAACTAAGCCCAACCATAAGTATATAGCTTTGGTGAATATACCATTTAGGACTCCATTTGCCCAAAGTTATAAAATAGGTAAAGTTAATCTGTAGAATAAATGTCCTACAGGAATGAGAGAGAGGAAAGAAATGAAATATGATCAGAGCTGAGACAGAGCACAAGATAGGGTTAGTTGAAAGCTGCTATCTTCTGTCAAGAAGAGGTAGTATGGCACAGTTGGGAAACCTTCTAAGTATTAGGGTTTACCTAAATTGTTTTCACTTTTTGGTCCCTAGTTCAGCTTCTACAAATTTAACCAGCATCTTCATGTCCCCTTTGCCTGAGGAATAATCAGGATGAAGTATTAACATACTCAAGAAGATTTGTGTAAGAGTTCTGAGACAACTTGGCTTTGACAATTCAAATCTATTTGTTTCAGCTTTATAACAAGGAATGGGAGATTATAGAATCTGCTCTATTTACCTCATATTGTTGCTATGTGGGATTAATTAGAATATATGTGCTTTTAAAGCAGCACAATACCCGGGCGTGGTCGTGCACTTCTTTAATCCCAGTACTCAGGAGGCAAAGGCTGGCAGATCTCTGTGAGTTCAAGGCAAGCCTGGTCTACATAGCGAGTTACAGGACAGCTGGGGCTACAGGGAGACCCTGTCACAAAAAGGCCAAAAAAAAAAAAACCAAAAAACCCAAAACAAAAAAATAAACCCCCAAAACCAAACAACAACAGCAACAACAACAAAACCCCCAGCAACAATATAGAGGCATAATAAACACATTAATAACACAGAAGTCATGCTTTAGCAACATCCTTTTCACCAATCAAACATACGTATGGACTAATATTTCCCCTGTGCCTTCTGTATGCTTGGTGTTTTAAAAGGTATCTCATGTATTCTTTATTTTTTAAGATCTATTTTTATTTGTGTGGATATGTCTCTGTGTGTGTCTGCCATGTATATGCTGTGTGTGTGTGTGTGTGTGTGTGTGTGTGTGTGTGTGTGTGTGACTGAGGAAGCCAGAAGAGGGCATCAGAGCCCCTCTGAAGCTGGAGTTATGCGCAATTATGAACCACCTTATGTGTATGCTAGGAACTGAACCTGGATCCTCTTAATGAACAGAAAGTGCTCTTAACTGCTGAGCCATTTCTCCAGGCCTCAATATCCTGTAATTTTAGAGGTAAGCAAACTGCTGTTTGGAAAGTTAATTAATTCTGAAAATTCTTTAAATTTTGATGAATTGGTTGCCTCTTCATTGTTCATATGAGCTTCCTGTGTTTCTGGTAGGAAGTAGGAAATCTTTCAAACACAAGCAGCTATGCAAGCAAGAGTGTAAAGAAAAAGTCAGTTCCGAGTTCCTGCGCTCTTAAAGCTTTATATACTCTGTAACTCTTGATTTCAGAAGGCCAGGCAGGATGGTTGTCAGTAAAGGATCTACAGCGATTAGATCAGGTCTGTACTTGATCCATTGATTAATGAAATATTAAAGGGCCTAATATCAGGTTCATCTGGTCTTTCACGAACCTCACACGTTGTAAAAAAGTCGATCTGGGTTTCCTTTAAGGAAGTGAAGAGCAAAGCTCTAAGCAGGCAAACCTCATTGTAATACTAGCTTTAAAATTTTTGGTCATTTCTTATGAAATGTGTGTTCCCTCATTCATAATTAATTTGAAAGTAACTTTTCCTTAATATCCAACATTGCAGAGTAATTCCCAATGCATTCAATCTGGTTCTCATTGATTAGACCCTTATTTTCCTCTCTGCTCTTGTCTTTTAATGAGTCATTGCAATATTTCATTATAATAGACTATTCTATTTAATTAAAACAGTATGGTTTTAGTGACAATTAAAATGTTAAATGTGTAATTCTAAACATAATAAATAAGAATACCAGATGCAGGACTAATTTGAAAACTGACTCTTGGGGTATGTGTTTGTGGATAGCCGAGGGGTGCAGGCAGATAAGGTGGTTCATTTGGTTGCAATCATTCAGGAGGCAAGAGACATCAGAAAGAATATATTATCTGCGCTTGGGGAGTGTCTGCCAACCTTAAAAGTCAGTGAAGTGGAACGTGGCCAGGACTTTAGCTTACTAACTCTTGTGACCATAGCAGTAACCAGAGGCATTGTGGGTAAAATGTCAAAGTGCTTCATTGTTGTCTTTCTCACCACCTTTCAGGCTCTAATCAGCTGGTATTGCTTAGGCAACTAGC